CCATTTTTCTTGTGCACTTTCAAACACCCCAGAAGACATTATCATTTCAAGGTAAGATGTTCGGTTCAATCGTTTTGGACAAAATATCAAACTACTTTTGAAATCTTTGGCCATAGCAGCCCAAACCATTACCTTTTTATCATATTTAGGTGTCTCCTGGAACACTTCTTTGTTATGCATACCCCTCTTTCTCCATAAAAAATGCCATCAGAATGCATTGAAAAAATGCTTTCATCAGAAATAAGCACACAGTTGGTCCATTTTTTAATAATTTTCTTTTGTGTTTGTTTTTTACAAAAACTAAGTCTCTTCTTAATCTGAACTTTATTCAATTCTGTTTTTTTAATTGGAGAAGCCCAAAAAATCCCAAGACTGTGTCGATAGTTGTTGATGGTTGTCTTTGAAAGAGAAGACATTTGTGATAGCTTAAAACTGCTTATCCTTGGATGTTTGAGAGTTTCTTGGTGAATTAACTTGATGTGATTTTGTGTGACTTTGTTTGGTCTTCCCTTTTTAACGATTAAAGGTTGATAATATGGATTTTTGTCGACTTCATCACACAACTTAATAACATCAGTCAAAGACATTTTAAAAATTTTAGTCAATTTTCTTCTGGAAATGCCTTCTTTGTAAGCTTTGCACATGGATATTTTTTTCATGAAAATTTGTTTCTCATAAACAGTTGGAGTTCGATTCATTTGTATTTATGAGTTAAATAGATAGAATTACGTTTTTGTTTTATTGAAACAATTTGCCAAATAATGCTATATTTTACCAGATATTTTTACACACTTTCGGGGGTGGTTCAATTTTACTTGAAAAATAATTATTTTTTTCAAACAAATAATTTTCGTTGAGTAAAAAATATTCGGGGGTGGGTAAAAAAACAAAGAAAAAATCATTATTTTTTTTCGAAAAAATCAACAATTACCAGAATAATTGAAAAATAACAAAGATAATAAAAATGCTTTCACTACAGATTAATTATTTTCAGTTTATATTTAATAAAAAAGGTACAAATCAAAAACATATTATTTGAAAATCTAGGATATATATTAAAAAATATAATATAAAATACATTGAGAAATGCTCATAATTAATTTAATTTATTATTATAAGCATCAATTATCGAAATATCATTTGTACAACATCTGAAAGTGTTTTGGATTAATTAACTCTAACAATAATTTGTAACCATCTGTTTATTTTGTTTTGAAAAATGCTCTTTAAAAAACTTATTATAATTTGAGACATTATATTTCAAAACAAAACAAATGTAATATAATAATTATGAATTTAAATTGTTATATTTTTGATAATTAAAATATATTACCGATGATTATATTATTACGATTTTACCAATCAGACATATTCTTAAAATAATAACAACTTTAATTTATGACTTATTATGTCAAGTAACATTGTTTTGCAATATTTATTGAAAAAAATGTGATATAAAACGCATATTTTTAAAAGACAATATTTCTTTTATTATATGAAAATAATGTTTATTTAAAATAAGTACAAAAACAAAAATTAAATATCACTTAGATACAATCTACGTTTCTTTTCACTACATTAATTGATAAGAACAGTCGTTAATTTTAAAATGATATACAATAGTAAATGATAATCAATAATTATAAACAAAAAATGTCAATCGTTTTTATATTCTGTGTCATATTATAATATAATTTGTTTGTCGAATCTAAAATAAAATTTTGTTATTTTTATGTTGTTTTCACTGAGCTTACGATGAAATATATATTTTTTCATCAAACACGTTTGAATTAATTAAAAAACAACAAAAGTAACATTTGAATTGTTTTTTTTCAAAAAATAATTTGATGATATTGGGTTATTGTT